TTTCTAGTTCCTAAGAGAATAAACTTCCCACTGCCCAAAGAGAATCTGTCTTTTGCATTACCCAATGCAGATTTGAATTTAACCAACAAAACTCCCCCATAAATTCAAATATTTCTTCGATCCATCATGCCTAACATTTTCTTGCCTCTGTCGAATAGCTCCTTTGACAGTGGTTTTGTAAGAATGTCTGCTGCTTGATCCTTGCTTGCAACGTGCTTCAGTTCGATGCTTCCATCCTTCACGTGTTCTCGAATAAAATGGAATCGAGCATCAATGTGTTTGCTTCTTTCATGGTTGGTTGGATTCTTCGCTAGTTCGGTTGCAGATTTTTGTCGACTTGAATTATTGTTGCATCTTCTTGTTTCAACTCCATCCTGCTTAGAAATCTTCTCAGCCATATTGCATGACATACACACCAAGATGCTGCCACATAATCTGCTTCACAGGTCGAAAGAGTTCTTATGGGTTGCTTCCTTGACAGCCAGGTGAATGCAATACTTCCCATGAAGAACACATATCCTGAAGTGCTCTTTTGATCATCTATGTCACCACACCAATCACTGTCAGAGTAGCCAACCAACTTGTATTCTTATGCTTTTGAATAAAACATTCCAAGTGACACAGTTCCTTGGACATATCGAAGGATTCTCTTTAGAGCTTTCCAGTGTGCAAAAACTGGTTCTTCCATGAAACGACTCACAATTCCAACACTCAGCGAAAGATCTGGCCTTGTGCATGGGAGGTATCAAAGACTTCCCACCAAGTTTCGAAATTTGTTTGCTTCGACACACTCTCCCCCATAAAATTTCGAAAGCTTGGCTCCTGGTTCCATTGGTGTAGAAATTGGATTGCAGCTTTCCATTTTAAATCTTTTCAGGATATCTTTTGCATATTTTTCTTGTGAGATGAAGATTCCTGTTTCTTCTTGTCGAACTCCCAGACCAAAAAAGTATTTCATCAGGCCTAAGTCAGTAATCTCAAATTATTGTGTCATTGTGCCTTTGAATTCTTCTATCATCTGATTATTCCTTCCCAAGAAAATTAAGTCATCGACATAGAGGGCAACAAGCAATATTTTCTCCTTTTCCTTCTTCACGTACAGGGCATGTTCGTAGGGACATTGCTGAAATCCATTTTCTTTGAAGTTTGTGTCAATTCGTGTATTTCATGCTCGTGGTGCATACTTCAGCCTATAAAGTGCCTTCTTTAGCTTTAGCACATTTCCTTCATTTTCGACTTTCATGTATCCAGGTGGTTGTTCTACATAAACTTCTTCTTCAAGAATGTCATTCAAAAAAGTTGACTTGACATCCATCTGATATTTTTGCCATTTGTATTGAGCATATTGAGATATTAGCAGTCGAATTGTCTCCATTATCACAACAGGTGCAAACACTTCATTATAGTCTATTCCTGCTTTCTGCTTGTATCCTTTCGCCACAAGTCGCGCCTTGTATCTTTCAATTTCACCTTGTGCATTTATCTTTTTCTTGAACACCCACTTCACACCAATTGTTTGACTTTCTTTTGGTAACTCTGCTAGTTCCCAAGTATCATTGTGTTCAATGGCCTAATTTCTTCATTCATAGCATCCTTCCAATTTTTATTTTTTACTGCTTCGTCGAAACTGACATCTTCAGTGTCTGCCAACAAACATACGAAATGCACTTCTTCTGTGTTTTCATACAAGTCTTGTAAACTTTGCAGTCTGGGCTGTGAGATTCCATCTTCATCATCAGAGTCTTATGGCTCTGTCTAAGTGTTTTTCGATATAACAATAGGTAATTCGACCATAACTTCAGTCAAATTGATCCAGTCCCACTTGCTTCCTTCGTTTACTCGAACATCTCTACTCACTATCACCTTTTTGTTTATTGGGTTGAAAAGTATGTAACATTTCGTTTTCTCATCATACCCAATGAGTATGTATTTCTGACTCTTATCTTCCAACTTTGTTCTTCTTTGATCAGGTACATGTGCATAAGCCACACTTCCAAACACTTTGAAGTGAGGCACAATTGGATTTCGTCCGCTCCAAGCTTCTTAAGGTGTTAAATCTCCCAACTTCGAATGTGGACATCTATTCTGAATGTAGATTGCACATTGTACAACTTCTGCCCAAAATTCTTTCAACATGTTCTTTCTCTTAAGCATTGATCGAACCATGTCAAGGACTGTTCAATTCTTTCTTTCCGCCAGACCATTTTGTTGAGGTGAGTATGCTGCAGTCAGAAATCTCCTTATGTCTTGCTCTTCACAGTACTTCATAAAGGTTGTCGAAGTATAATCCCACCTCTGTCTGATCGAAGAGCTTAGATGTGCCTGTCTGTTGCTTTCTCCACCATTATCTTGAACTTCTTGAATACTTCGAAGGCTTTTGACTTTTCTTTCAGAAAATACACCCAAGTTTTCCTTGAGAAATCATCAATACAGGATTAAAGTACTTTTTTCCACTGAAGGATTCTGGGGTAATTGGTCCACATACGTCAATGCGAATCAATTCTAGAATTTGTTTAGCCTGATATTCTGCCTTCCTTTGAAATGAGGTTCTCGTCTGTTTTCCAAACACACATTCTTCACAGAACTTTCCTTCGAATTCTACGTCTGGCAGTCCATGCACCATATTTTTCTTTGCTAACTTCCTTAGTCCAGCCTGATGTAGATGACCAAAACGTAGATGCCACAGAGATGCTTGGTCTTCGACATTGGCTTGCAAACACTTTTCTTGAATGCTTATCAAATTCAACTTGTACATTCGATTTTTCCCCATTTCGACTTGAGCAACCAGACGTCCTGACTTTTCTTTTAAGTGCAAGCTTCGATCTTCCATGAGTATTAAATAGCCCTTTTCTGTGAGTTGTCCCAGACTTAAAAATATTTTCTTTGAGGTTTGGTACATAGTACACATCTTGGATTGATCCTATCAAATCATCCTTCTGCAAGAAACTGATTGTTCATTTTCCTTTGATCCTTACTTTCGACGCATCTCCAAAGGAAACATGACCATCCTCAATTTTCTTTATTTCTTTGAATACATGCTTATGACCACGCATATGGTTACTTGCTCCTGAGTCCAGGTACCACATAGTGTCATTTTCTGCATTAACAAAAATCCTTCATTCGATTCTGTTTCTAGGGCAAGATTTGTTGTTTCTTCTATCTTTCTTCTGAGTCGACAATCTTTTGCAAGATGTCCCATTTTACCACAGTTGTAGCAACTGTAGGAGTTACAATCTTTCGCATAGTGCCCCTGTTTGTTACATTTGTAACATTCGATATTGTTGTAATTCGACCTACCACCTCTCTGGCCACGTCCTCTGCCACGCCAATTTTGTTGGATTGACTGTCCTCTGTCGAAGTTGTTATTTTGGTAACTTCGACCACCATTACGTCCTCCACGACCATGTCCTCTCCCACGCCAATTTTAAGAGAAAAGTGTCTTTCGTCTCTGTTGGGTTCTGCATCCTCAATTGTCTCTTCCTTCTTCTTTATTTTGCGATGTTCATGTGCCTCAAGTGAACCAGCGATTTCTTCGACAGTGATTGTCAAAAGATCCTTCGCCTCTTCTATTGCGCATACTATATTTTCGAACTTATCTGTCAAAGATCTCAGAATCTTTTCGACAATACGAGCATCAGTCATTGCTTCTCCATTTCGATTGAGTTGATTTGCCATTGTCTGCACACGAGTGATGTAGTCCGACATGGACTATGTCTCCTTCATCTTCATTCTCCCCATTTCTCCTCGAAGAGTCTACAAGCGAACTTGCTTGACTCTATCTTCTCCTTTGAAAGCCTTTTCTAGCGTGTCCCATGCTTCCTTCGATGTAGTCGAACCAACAATTTTTTCGAAAACTGATTCGTCGACTGCTCTAAACAGCATGTATAATGCTGTTTGATCCTTTGCTCGCGTTTCTTTCAACGCCTTGTTTTGAGCAGTTGTGTTTGTTGTCGTATTTGATGGTTCTTCAAATCCATCGTTAGTTACTTCTCATACATCTAACGATCCCAGAAGTGCCTTCATCTGGATACTCCAGTTCTCATAATTTGACTTTGATAGTCGTGGCAGTGGCATTTGACACATCATATTTGCCATGCGCTCTGGTACCAATTTGAAGAGAAATGAGAATGGACTTTAAACTTGCTTTCTTTCTAAAATTGTTCAACTAATTTTTTATATGAATACAAAGTGATTTATACAGAGATCACGCGATAGAATATTAAATATTACAGTATTAACTATTTCTAGGTCTCAAGAGAATAAACTACCCATTATCCAAAGAGAATCTGTCTTTCGCCTTACCCAATACAAATTTGAATTTAACCATCAGTTTCAATATCTATTATTATGATGTCTTCTGAAACATTTGTGAAGTAAGTGATATTCTAGAAACTATTTATCTTGTCGCCTATTCGTCTATGTCTTTTCTTCCTTCTGTAGCTCATGTAGTCTATCCTAAATCTCTCTCCCAATAGATCTCGATCTTTGATTTGCACTCTCTCTAGTCTCACCCCTCATCTTTGTGTGATCTCACCCCTCATTGTTGTGTGTGGACTCACAAATAAATTGAAAAGTGTAACTAAATTGTAATAGTAGGGAGTAACTAAATTGATAAGTGTAAGAACACTTGATTGCGTTCCATTTTTTTTAAAGGTGAAATTATGATTATTAGACTAGAATGAGTGCACGTAATAGTTTGACTAAGAGAGTATAATTTGAAACGGAAGGAAGGAGTATCTATTTTGAATACTAAGAGAATCCCAAAGTCACCGGCTTTTGACCCACCTTTTAAAATAAAACGTCACCTAGTATGTCAAACTCGCTATAGATAACGTCACCGCATAGGTAAATACAACAACAACAACAACCTTCGCAACACGACATGCTGCTCATTATAAATAACTCCCACTTCCTTGTAATATCCAAAACAACCAATCTTGTATTCTTTTTGAAACTAACCACCACTCATAGTTTATTCACCTCCTATTGTTCACATTGAAATGGCAACACAACCTGAATTGGAGCATACTAACAAAGCCTTTGGCTATGCAGCTAGAGATTCTTTCGGTGTTCTCTCACCTTTCAATTTCTCTAGAAGGTTCAATTCACTTATATCACCTCTTCACTCTCTACATCTTTTTAGTTAATTACTATTATTTTACACCAATAATTGATAATTTGTTTTATTGAATTTCAGAGAAACCGGTGAAAAAGATGTGGCATTCAAAGTATTGTATTGTGGCATATGTCACTCTGATCTCCATATGGTGAAGAACGAATGGGGCATGTCCACATATCCACTCGTTCCTGGGTATGCTTTTCAGATTTCTTTAAAATCATTTTCTATTACAGTTTCATTCTAGTTATAATTCACGTATGCATGCACGACCACAGGCATGAGATTGCTGGTATAGTGACAGAAGTGGGAAGCAAAGTAGACAAGTTCAAAGTTGGAGACAGAGTTGGAGTGGGATGCTTAGTTGATTCGTGTCGTACCTGCCAAAATTGCGAGGAAAATCTTGAGAATTATTGCCCCCGATCTACACTCACATATGGTGCTAAACATAGTGATGGAACAATCACACATGGAGGCTACTCAGACTCAATGGTTGCTGACGAACACTTTGTGATTCGTATTCCTGATAGCTTACCACTTGAAGCTGCTGCACCACTCCTTTGTGCCGGAATCACTGTGTATAGTCCTCTTAGATATTTTGAACTCGATAAACCCGGGCTTCATGTAGGTATTGTTGGACTTGGTGGTCTTGGTCACATGGCTGTTAAGTATGCCAAAGCATTTGGTGCTAATGTGACTGTAATTAGTACATCGCCTAACAAAGAAAAAGAAGCAATAGAGCACTTGGGCGCTGATTCATTTCTGATAAGCCGCGACCAAGATAAATTGCAGGTATATAGATTCATATTATGATTCTCAAAAATAGGCATTGGTAAATTGGTAATAAATTAATTAACTAGTTATGTTGATAAACTTGTAGGCTGCAGTAGGTACTTTGGATGGTATCATTGATACAGTTTCAGCTAATCATCCAATAGTGCCTCTAATTGGATTACTCAAGTCTCATGGAAAACTTGTTATGGTTGGTGCACCAGAAAAGCCTTTCGAGCTCCAGGTGTTTCCGTTACTTCAAGGTGAGCAACCATATATATGAATAATATTTGTATTGATCTCTTGTTTGATTAGAAGACATAAGATTTTGATGATGATAACATTGATTGGCAGGGAGAAAGTTGATTGCTGGAAGTGCGATTGGAGGGTTGAAGGAGACTCAAGAGATGATTGATTTTTCTGCTAAGCACAATATAAAACCAGAAATCGAAGTCATTCCAGTGGATTACATTAACACGGCAATGGAGCGACTCCATAAAGCAGATGTCAAATATCGTTTTGTGATTGACATTGGAAACACCTTGAAACCAAGTTCTTAAATTTTGCAGTTTCAATTGTCAATTGTTTTATGTTCTTGTTGTATGCAATAAGTGTTTTTGCTGATATTACACATAGAATGTATGATGTTGAAAATGATAGAGATTTGGCGAGATTTACATTTATGAGAATCAACAATGTATTAATAGTTATTGATTTCAAGTATATCAATGCTATGAATAATAATTGAGTATTGAATATTGTTAAAGATGTCAGCAAATAAAATTTTTCATGATGGAAGTTGGTGTGGTGGTATTCGAGAGGGAACGTTTTTTAAATTTCTTTATTTCTTTTTGTTTGTTTACACAATGGAAAACTCTTATTTATAGTAAATGATAAAACGCTCTAAAATTCATTAATTGTCTGGTGAATGATAGAGCTCTCTAAAATCATTAACTATTTAGTGAATGATATAAATATTTAGAAATCATTAATTTATTGATACATGAACCCACATTATTTAGGTATATGCTTATGTTATTTCTTTCAAATTACAATTGATTTATATTTTGATAAAACTATTTTAGTAGCAACATGTTTAACAAGATGTTACAGCATTCTGTCTTCAACTTGTCGAGTAAGATGTCCCAATAAGGAAATAGGACATCGCGTTTGCAACAAGCTGACAGTTGTGGATCAGTTAATTTTTAGCTACTGAATATTTAAGAAATATTCAGTTAGTTTATGTGACGTCTAAGATTGATAAAATAGAATATTCTTTATTGGTTTTTGAAGATTTGATTAGTTTCTAAATATGTAGACTATTTAGGAATCTAATGATTGAAGAACTATTTTCTTCGAGGAGTTTTTTCAGACTTTGTGCAGCCTCATTGCTGCGGTTTTGAAGCTCAATCCAGTCCAGAATAATGTTATAAATAGACTGGTATATACCTAATTTTAGGTAGAACATATGTGTGTATTTTTGTTAGGGTTTTTAAAATCCTTATTGTTGGGTTGTAAGTTCTGTGTCAGATGTTCATAAGATTTTAAGCATTGAACATTTGTGTTTTAGATGCTCATAAGTTGTTAAATATTGAGTATTTGTGTGTCAATTCTCATAAGTTTTTCAGCATTGAGTTTTGTGTGTTTTAGAAGTGTTTTCTTCCGATTTTTATTCTCTACTGGTGTTTAGAGTTTGCTCCAACCGCTGAGTGTAATTGAAGAGGGATTTGAGGAGGGCCTCATACCTAGGTGAGTCTTAGGTAGAAGTTAAGTAAAGGGTAGTGATTAAGCGTGTAGGCTGTAAATTGGGATGTTTGTTGTGAGGTCTACAAATTGATACTATCTAGTTAATTTCATCTCTGACTTGGTAGCCCCCAGAGTAGGAAGGTTGTTCGGATGGTAACTATGATTGTTGGAAATCTCGTATGGAAACCTTTATAAAGTTCTTGGATGACAAGACTTGGAGAAATATTGTCAAAGGTTGGGATCCACCGAAGGTTGTGGATACCATATTCAATGGAGTTGACAAAAATATTTTCAAGTTGATAAAGACTTGCAAACATGAAAATGTGGCATGGGAGACCTTGAGAAAGGTGCATAAAAAAACCTAAGGTTAAATTGGCAAAGCTTCAGCTTCTCTCCACCAAATTTGAGAACTTTAAGATGAATGAGGATGAAAGTATCCAGGACTTTCACACGACTGTCCTAGATATTGCTAATGACTCAAAAGACCCGAGAGAGAAGATATCAGAGGATAAGCTGATCAGAAAGATGCTTAGATCTCTTTGCAAGAGATTTGACACGAAGGTAATTGCTATTGAAGAATCCCAAGATTTAAGCACTATGACAATAGATCAACTTGTAAGTTCACTTAAGACTTTTGAGTATGTTATTAATGAAAGATCTGAAAAGAAGAAGAGCATAACTTTTGTTTCTAGTGCTGGAGACTCAGAGGATAAAGGAAATATAAACTCATAAGAAAAATCTGAGGATCTCGTGCTTCTGGGAAGACAGTTTAACAGGGTGCTGAGGAAGTCCAAGTTGGGTGCTAAGAACATGTCATACGACATTAACAAAAACCAGGACCTGGGAAGAAAGTTAATATTTGAAGAAAAGTCAAACCAAAGGAAAGGTGTTCAGTGTCATGAATGTGAGAGATATGGACAAATAATAACGGAATGTGCCACCTATCTCAAAAAGCACGGAAATAATTTATTTGTGTCATGGTCTGATGGGGAATCATAAAGTGATCACGAGAAAGATTCAGCCAAGCAGGTGATTGCCTTGACTGAAACTTGTGGATCTGATCAAGAATCATGTGCTTCTAATAAAGAATCATATGTTGGAGAACTCACAGTTAGTGAACTAGCTAATGGATTCATAGAGATGTGCCTCAAAAATGAGAGAATGGGTCAAAGAATATTGGAGCAAAAGATACTTATTTCGAAACTTGAGGCAGAAAAAGAAGATCTCCCTATCTTTCCTTTATTTTGGGGTAAGCTACCATATATATGAAAATATTTTTATTGATCTCTTGTTTGATTAGAAGCAATAAGATTTTGATTATCATAACATTGATTGGCAGGGAGAAAGTTGGTTGCTGGAAGTGCGATTGAAGGGTTGAAAGAGACTCAAGAGATAATTGATTTTTATGTTAAACACAATATAAAACCTGAAATCGAAGTCATCCCTATAGATTATGTTAACACTGCAATGAAGCGAATCCTCAAAGCAGATGTCAAATATCGATTCGTGATTGACATTGGAAATACTTTGAAACCAAATTCTTAAATTTTAAAGTTTCAAATGTCAATTGATTTTTGTTCTTGTATGCAATAAGTGTTTTTGATAGTTGACATAGAATGTTTGCTGTTGAAAATGATAGAGATTTGCAAGATTTACATTATCATAATTAAGAATGTAAGCTTTTTTTTTGTTTGAACCCCTTCTTAATAGTTCAGTGATTTTAAGTATAGTGATGCTATGAATATTAAATTTATTTTTTGTTATAAGAGAGGGCCTAGGCCTAACGGAAAAAAAGAACTACAATAGATTTAACTTCGGAATAGAGAATCCTAATACATCGGTAGTTACTAAATGATTAATGAAAAGCAGGTAATCTTCTCTAAACATAATTTCTTCTCCATGTTAAACTGATACGTAAATCTCATATTATTTTCTTTTTTGTATATCTTACAGGAGAGGAATAGGTTATACTTATATACATAGAAAATCCTATTTCTAATTATGACCAAATCAGAATAATTAACAAATAATAACTCTATTCCTATTATAATTCCTAAAACCATGCTGACAGCTAATGCCAACACTCCCCCTCAAGTTGGTGCATAGAGATCTCGAATGCCCAACTTGTCAAGTGCGTTGTAGAAGTCTCTGTTACATACAGCTTTTGTGAGTATATCTGCTAATTGATCTTCAGATTTAACAAACGGAAATTGAATTATCTTGGTCTCCAAATTTCGCTTAATAAAGTGTCGATCTACTTCCACGTGTTTTGTCCGATCATGTTGGACCGGATTATGAGCAATTTCAATTGCAGACTTGTTGTCACAAAAAAGGTTCATGGCATTATTCGGAGCATGGGAAATTTCACTTAACAGTCTTCGAAGCCAGAGAAGCTCACAAAGACCTTTAGCCATCCCTCGAAACTCTGCTTCGGCACTTGATAATGCTACAACCTTTTGTTTCTTACTTTTCCATGTAACCAAATTTCCTCCAACAAACGTAAAATAGCCTAAGGTGGATTTCCTGTTGGTGATATCTCCTGCCCAGTCAGCGTCTGTATAGCCTTCAACTTGTACATGATTATTCTTTGTGAACATCAAGCCTTTTCCAGGCGAGGACTTCAGATACTGCATGATTCGAATTACCACGTCCATGTGATCTTTACTCGGGTTATGCATAAATTGGCTTACTACACTTACCGCATACACTATATCAGGTCGTGTATGAGATAAATAAATAAGTTTGCCAACTAATCTCTGGTACCTTCCTTTGTCTGTTGACACTTGCTCTGGATATTCTCCAAGTCGGTGATTCTGGACAATTGGAGTGTCTACAGGTTTACAGTCTAGTAGCCCAACCTCTGATAAAAGATCCAGGATATATTTTCGTTGAGATAGAAAGATGCCTTTCTTCGACCTAGCAACTTCGATACCTAGGAAATATTTGAGTCCACCTAGATTTTTCATCTCAAATTCGGTTGCCAGTTGTGTTTGAAGTTTTGCTATTTCCTCAGAGTCATCTCCCGTAATAATCATATCATCTACATACACAATCAAGGCCGTGACCTTACCTTGACGATGTTTCAAGAACAACGTATGATCAGCGTTGCTTTGTTGGAAGCCATAATTTTTCATTGCCAAGTTCAATCTCCCAAACCACGCTCTAGGAGATTGCTTCAAGCCGTACAAACTGCGTTGTAATTTACACACTACCTTCGTTTCATAATTTGTCATGTATCCCGGAGGGATATCCATATATATTTCTTCTTTCAAGTGCCCATGGAGAAAGGCATTTTTTACGTCTAACTGATGCAAAGGCCAATCAAGATTTACTGCAAGGGATAAAAGAACTCTGACAGTGCTTAACTTGGCAACAGGTGAAAAAGTTTCTTGATAGTCTACGCCATATGTTTGAGTAAAGCCTTTAGCTACTAGTCTTGCTTTGTACCTTTCAATAGACCCATCAGCTTTGTACTTGATAGAGAAAACCCACTTACACCCTACTGATTTCTTCCCTTTTGGCAAAGGAACAAGAGTCCATGTTGCATTCTTGTTTAATGCCTCCATTTCTTCATTCATAGCTTGAACCCATCTAGGGTCTTCAATGGCCTCTTCAACCTTGCTAGGTACACTGTGTGAAGATAGCTCATTTGAAAACTTCTTAAGGGGTTCAGACAAGTCCTTCATAGAGACATAATTAGCAATTGGATACCTCGATCTATGATCCTCTTCTTCAGGGGAGTATCGCTTCGGTGGTTTTCCCCGATTATGCCTGCGCGGTAATTCATATCTAACAGAGATATCACCATTATTATTATTAGGAGATATAGGAGAGCTTACCTCAATGATATTCTCAGGAGATGGATCGTTCGGTACTGGAGAGGGGGGGAATTCCGATACTTTAACTTCAGGACTCATATGATCGGTTTGAGTTTGACCAGAATCATCACAAGCTTCAGTTGATGATATATCAATATCCTTGAACCAGTCAAATGTTGACCAATTCGACTCTTCTCTTGGTGTCTCCCCCTGAAGAGAAGAATTGGATGATGCCGAGGAGTAGAAATGGTCGAATTCCAAGAATGTAACATCCATTATTACATACATGCGTCGAGTAATAGGGTCATAACAACGATACCCTTTCTGGTGTACACCATACCCCAAAAAAAGGCAGCGAATGGCACAAGGATCAAGCTTTGTATGCTGGTTTTTATGTAGGTGAACAAACGCAACACAACCAAAGACTCGAGGTGGCAACATTTGTATTGTAGGCAGTGGTACAAGTGTCGACAAGGTCTTCAGTGGAGTTTTAAAGTCAAGAACCTTTGATGGCATCCGATTAATGAGATATATTGTTGTAGTAACATCATCAGTCCAATGGTGGTGAGGCACATGTGCTCCATGTAAGAGAGCACGAGCAGTTTCAAGGATGTGACGATTTTTTCGTTCTGCAATACCATTTTGTTGTGGAGTTTGTGGACACGTGGTTTCATGAATAAGACCGTGTTTTTTGAAATACCCATGGAATTGGTGGTTTACAAACTCCCCACCATTATGAGAGCGAAGGATCCGAATCTTCTTTGAATATTGAGTTTGAATCATTTTATGGAATTGTTGAAATATGTGCAACACTTCATTTTTTTGTTTCAACAAATAAATCCAAGTCATTCGAGTGCAATCATCAACAAATATCACAAACCACCGATAACCAGAGAGAGAAGATTTTGGGGATGGACCCCATACATCAGAATGGATTAAAGCAAAAGGAACATTACTTTTATTCATACTTAATGGAAAAGTGACTCGATGACTCTTGGCTAAAATACAAGCTTCACATTTGAAGTTCAACAAAGATGTATCTGAAAATAAATTTGGGAGCACATGCTTCAGATATCCAAACGAAGGATGGCCTAATCGACGATGCCAAAGTAAAACTTGCTCCATTTTATTGTTTCTTGGATAATGCATGTGATGCGCTCGGCCTACACTAAAATCCTCCATATAGTAGAGTCCCCCTCTCTTAGTACCACGCCCAATGATCTCCTTCGTGAGAATATCCTGAAGGAAACAGAAAGATGGATAAATTAGCACAATACAATTCAAGTCTTTTGTAACTTGACTCACGGACAACAGCTTATGAGATAGAGAGGGAACAAGTAGTGTATTTGAAAGCAAGAGGGCTGGTGATAACATCACAGTTCCAGCCCCTGTTACCGGGGATAAACCACCATTTGCGTTGGCAATACTTGAGCGCCGAGGGGCTGAACGTTCAGAAAAATCAGCAGCATCAAACGTCATATGATCGGTCGCTCCGGAATCAAGTATCCATGCATTAGAGGCATCATCATGATTAGAGCAAATTAGAACATTACCTTCACTGGTGTGGGAACTTGATTTCGGGATGAGGGAAAGATGTGGTTTGGCAGTAGCTACTGCAGCTTTTCCCGAGTTGCTATCAGTTGTATCGCGACACTTTCGAGTCTGAAATTCTGTCCACCAATCTGGATAGCCATGAAGTTTAAAACAGGTATCTCGAGTATGTTTGTTACCTCCACAATGAGAACACTTAGTGCCATCAGATGATTCTTTATGTTTGGTTTGAGAGAATATCTTGCTGCTCTGTAATTTGAGACCCTTAGATGCGAGAACTGCTCCAGATAATTCATTGGAGTTGTCTGTCATCACTGCCTGACGAAGTGCTTCCCTCCTAACATGTGCATATGCTTGCTCCACGGTTGGAAATGGTTTCATTTGTAAAACATCGCTTCTGATATTATCTAAGCGGTCATCAAGTCCATCCAAAAAACCATACACTCGTTCTTCTTGGACAAGTGTATTGTAATGTTGGATATCAACTCGACATGTCATCGGATTTGGACGTCGGAAATCTATCTCACGCCAAAGTCCTTGGAGATCGTTATAATATTTTTCAAGAGAACCACCGGCTTGTTTAAGACGTGTCACCCGTCGCCTAAGGTCATACACCTGCGAGGTATCGCTACCATCAAAGTATGTGGTCGCAATTGCATCCCACACCAGTTTGGCAGTGGAGAATCGAATAAAGTTGCTGATTAGAGAAGAGTCCATTGAGTTGATTATCCATCCCTTAACAACCGCGTTGTCAGTCCGCCAACGTCGAAAGGTAGGATCTGTTTGAGGGGGTTGCGGAAGATCTCCATTGATATATCCCAGTTTGTCTTTGCCGGAGATATACATCTCGACCACCTGGGACCAAAGGGGATAGTTGCTGCCATCTAACTTGATGCCAATCGGTGCCACCGTATGGTCAGAACTAATCTGTGACGGGGCTGAAGCGCGGTTCAAAACTTCTGTCATTTTCGTCGTCAACTCAGCAAGAATAGAAGTCGAGGTAGCATCATCGGAGATTGAATCCGAGTCGGCCATGGAAGATGGGTGGAAGGTGTTACCGTAGGTCAGGGTTAAGACCTGGCGTCTGATACCATGTTAAACTGATACGTAAATCTCATATTATTTTCTTTTTTGTATATCTTACAGGAGAGGAATATGTTATACTTATATACGTAG